TTTTAAACTAATATTTTAAACCTTAAAATAAAATCTAGTAAAATGTAACTGTACTTTTATAATTAAAAAAATAAGTATAGTACAAGCATGTTTTTCTATATAGTTACTGCTTAATTATGAAATTTAACCTATATTGAAAATACAATATGAATTAGAATTTAATCCAATTTTTAGAATTTCTTCTCTTTATTTTATATTTCGATACTCTTTTTTTCCTTTACTTAACAAATTTTAAGAAATTAATTATTAATTTTGACATTGAAAGTTGCAATTAAAACAAATTGAAGATAAAATATAAAAAAAACTTGGCAGTGCCGTGAGCTGTTTTAGTATATTTTATAATAATATAATATAATATAATGTATTGTAATTGTAATTATAATATAAGATGGTATGATTTGAAAATAATTAGATAATTTAATGTATGTTTGAAATTATGATAATTTTTATGATTGTAATTTGAAAAATATTAATTTAAAAAAAACTATAATTTGTAGCTTTTTTTAATTAAGAGTTCAATTGAGAATTTTTAATGAATTCCATATATATAAATATATGATATATATATTGATTAACAAAATATAGAAACGCAATTAAAAAAAAGGGGAACCTTAATTAAATTTTGTTAATTTAATTAAAATAGAAGAAAGGCCTGATAATTATTAGCATATAACATCAAGCTCCCAAAAGAAGGCCCATTGAGGTCTTAGGAAAAGCGGGTCGGGTTTAAATAGGGTTAGAAAACGGGTGGGATTCATCGGGAAGTTTCCGCTCCTCTGCACAACACACACGTAATAATTAGAAAGACTGTGTGTATGTAATTTAGAAAAACCCACTCCGCCCGCAACCAGCCAGCCAGAGCTGCTAAATATTATTGGTATTTAGTGTCATCGGCTGGGTCCCTTAAATATTATTGGTATTTAGTGTCATCGGCTGCTTCCTTTCTTTCCCCCCAAACCTAAACCATTCCTCTATTTCTCTCTTTTTAGGGTTTCATTGATTGAATTCAGATAGACGATGGAGGGATCAAATTCTTTGGACGATTCTCCATCGAGGCAAGCCCAAGCCCAAACCCGAAATCATAGCGGAGGAGATGCTCCTTCTAACCCGTCGCAACCGCAACCACAACCACAATCACAATCGCAGAGAGAAGGAGAGGAAGTAGATGAAACGAAGAAGGAAGAAGAGGAATTAATCGAGAAAGCGCAGAAACGGATTGATAAAATCACTTCTTCTCCTGATAATGCTAACCCTAATCATCTCCACGCTTTTTCCTCTCTTCTCGAAACTCAAGAGTCACTGTATGCATACCCCCCCTTTCCCTATTAATTTCTTTATTACATATTTTTGTTTTTATTTTCATCTCTAACTAATACTTATTTGTTTCTTTGCACTTGAAAACAATGCACAGAAAGCTTATCACTTCCTAATATTGCTGCCTGTATAGTATACCGCACACTGTATGCTAATAGGAGGAATTACTGATTTCAGAGGGTGGTGTAGATTTCTAGTTAGTTTGGTTTTTATCCCGGAGTGTAATTTTGATTCTTTTTCGTCTATTAGGATAACGTCATTATACTCTTATACTGGCACTATCATCCTTTATTCAGTTCTGGGCTTGATATTTTAATTTGAAATGCATATGGTATTCGAAAACATGAAAGATGTGCACAAATTATTGTATATGATTTTAGATAGCGTTTTCATGTCGATTGCTGTCAGTTCAAATACATTATCTGCAGTAGCATAACCAAATGAGGGTTCCCAATAAAAGGTCATATGAATCTTGTAGTTTCTTGCCATTGTTTCCTCTACAGCTGCTAATATCTTTTAGGTTGAAAGCCTGGTGGTGGTAACTTATAACAGGGAAACTCTTATTAAAGTGGTCATATTTTCATGACAGCAAGGATGGATCGTTATGATCAGAAAATATGGTTACATTACATAGCTGACAACATTACTAACACACTATCCACTTTTACAGCTGTCTGTGATTAGTATCTTCTGGGCCTCTTGAAAACATCATAGTATTTAAGGAAAATCTTAAAGTGGAAGAATGGGTTGGGATATACATTAAAAAAAAAAAATGGCATGAGCCTCTTATTTTGCACGCGACTGTCTGTTGACTTTGAAGTATTTGAAGTATAGGTCTTGTGTTCAAATCTTATCTTTGTGCTCTGCAGGATGCGGCAGCTTCCAGAGGCAACCCTTGAAAATAATATCAGGGCTGCAGATGAGAGATCTTTAGCTGATTTAGATGAAAGATCTTTAGAATCTGTTGGAGAAGATAATGATGACATAGATATTGATGGTGGGGAGAGACAGCATGGTCGAGACCTTTGTGATGTAAAAACAAAGTTTGCGGAACTTGATGAAAGTGGAAGAGATGACTTGTTGAGTCGCAGGCCTTCATGTGGGTGGACAAGACACAGAGGGAGGGGGAGGGTTAATGAAACAGCACTCGAGAATGAACAGGTTTCGACATCTCCAGATTCTGGTAGTCGATCAGGATCAGGACTAGGACGGAGTGCCAGAGATAGGAATTCAAAGAATATTTTAGATGTGAAGAAAGGACCAGATACAAGAAAGTTCCAGGGAAATATTCTTTCTGATGGTTTGGCTGTGGAAAGAGATGATAATGATGATTGCTTTCAGGGTTGCAGGATCGGAACCGAAGACATTTCTGATCTGGTGAAGAAAGCAGTTCAAGCTGCTGAAGCGGAAGCTAGGGGAGCAAATGCACCTGCAGGAGCCATCAAAGCTGCTGGTGATGCTGCTGCTGAAGATGGGTCTCGTCTTCTGATCGCACCTGCGCCTTCACCCACTGCAGGAGGTAATTATTTAATATTTGTACTACACTTTTGTTTCATACCACTCCCAAGTAATTGAATGCATTGATTTCTTCTCATGTGAATTTCATTTTTTGTTTAATAATATCACAGTGAGCTGAATTGATTTCAATGGGTTTTGCCTTCATTATATTTATATTACAAATTTTCTCAGGTGCTGCTGCTGGAATTAATGGATGCTTGTTATCGCTTCGACATCCAAAATCGGGTGTGTGTGTGTTCATCATTTGCTAGTTATAGTACCACTTCATAAGCACTTATCAAATTTCATCTTCTTTCAGGGAATGCAACAAACTATCTCCTTAGTCATGATAATGAGGGAGCAGTGCTTCAAGAACTTCACTGGTTCAAGCAATCATATACGTCTTGGTTTCTTGGCGATTATGTTTCTCAAGGTACATACATATATATACAGTTCTTTACTCGAAAATGCACAACCTTGCCTGCCTAATATTGCTTACTGGGTACATTACATGCATGATACAATATAGATTCTAGATATCACAATTTCCAGATACTGGACTGGGCTTAATGTTTATTCTTCATGCTTTAATTAAGGCATTGCATGTGCTTCATCTCTATATCTTTCCCATCCACACACTTCCACTCAACCTTTCCAAGGCTTGTGCTTCTCTTCATTCTGTTATTGGTCATTTTGTTATTGGTCAGATCATCAATGGAACTTACGAGTTTTTACAGAATCTTTCCTAGGTGGGTTCGGCTGTAGCCTAGCTTTGAACACCCATGTGCACTCACAAAATGAGCAAACTATATATATATATATATATATATATATATTGGAAAATCTCAACCACCATAGTTGATATTGTATATGAATTGGTTATTTAATAAAATAATAGTAAATGTTATTTCTTATTCATGATTCGAATGCTAACCGGTATCCTGACCTGCTTCGTGTTTGTTTCCTTGTTCCTTCATCTGTTCTTTCTTCATGCAGATGGCAGCCTTTACACTGCCACTCCTGTTGATCCTGTTTTCATTTTGTTGCCCATTTTTGAGGAAGCTAGAATGAAGGTAAATACAATTTTGTTATCTGGTTCTTGATCGCATAATTTGGATCAGAAGCAAGCTCTGTCTTCCATTTTTTCTTTGTTCCTAGTTAAAAAATTCTTTCAGGTTGATTATGATCTACTGATTGCATTTGAAGGAGGGGCATAGATTTACACAACTGTAGGAAACCTTTTGGTCCATTCTATGCATGTGGCCATGTTCTCTAACTTCTCGAGTAAATTAAATTGCAAACTACAATAATTGATGGGCATGGCAACCAGTTCTGGTTGGCTTTTCTTGGTTTCTATTCTGATTTTTCTGGAATATATGCATAAGAGTTAAGAATGTTTAATCATTTTTCCATGGCAGCATTGTCATTCTTCCACTTTATTTAAATAAAACTATTTTTTCCTCGTATGCAGAAGAGGGATGATCTAGGGAAGTTCAGGCAATTAGATGAGATAATATTCATCAATGACTATCCTGGGTATCAGCATCTAATGTCCATTGCAGAGAACTGTATGGGAGTAGTTTGTGAAATCAAAGGTCGTCTACTGCCTGTGTTTTTCTGGTGCGAATTCCAGTGACTAGTGTGCTGAAATATATAAAGTAAATCTTGTTATTTTATAGTACAAGGTTTGTTATTTTCATAAACAAGCCATATTACTATTCTGATCTGGTAGGACACCACTGAACTTTTATTAGTTGTTTATTCTTTCTTTTTCTTGTGGAATCCAATCAGGATTTCAGATTGATCTTTTGATCAGTTGACACAGAATGTTTTCTGAGGCTATATGCTTGACTAGATTTTGTTCCATTGAGGATGCACGCATGCCTGAGTAATTAGGTCTTATCATCCTGGAACTGATGGGTCCTAATTCCGATAATGTTTGCCATGGGCAATGTATGACAGCTATCAAGAATGATATTGTCTGCTTATAATACTGCGACTTTTGTCAAAATATTATCCAGGATATTAAATTTGTTTGATAACACTCGCTCTTCTTATTCAGAAATTGGATCTTCCAAGTTTTTTCGGCTGGATGATTCAAAGGTTTTAGCTTGGCTGTACTGCAAGGTCTGTCATTATCTGTTTAAACTGAATCTTACTACAGGGCTTTAGGCATGTCAAGAATTATCTTTCATCTCTATATGTTTGAGTAGCCATGCCTACTTAGGGCATAATTGGACTAATCAGCTACACCACGTAACTTGAATATATCTCTCGTGATTATTTGACTGCCAGTTACTTTCCTCTCTGATAATGTTAAGTGGCTTTAGGCATGTCAAGAATTATCTTTCATCTCTATATGTTTGAGTAGCCATGCCTACTTGGGGCACAATTGGACTAATCAGCTACACCACTTAACCTGAATATATCTCTCGTGATTATTTGACTGCCAGTTACTTTCCTCTCTGATAGTGTTATTGGAAAATAATATTGTGTGTTCCTGGAGTTGATTCCTATCAATTTAAGTGAAAATGCATATAGAGGGTCATAAAGAATTTTCTTTCACCTAAAATTGAGTTTTTTTCTTACTCTCTGATGTACAAGATCTGTACATACAGGTGCTCCAATTAAAAAAGGCTCTATGCTCATTGGACAAGAACTATGCTGCTCAAGATGAGAAATATACATGTATGTCCTTAACTAGAAATGATATATGACCTTTCTTTATTTGAATTCTCCTTCCTTGACATTAGTGAACACACACATACATAAATATGAAGCATGTACATAGTTCTACTCCTGAATTTGGGGGTGCTTTTTGGTGCAATTTTTTGTCCAATCTAAGATGGAGTTGTGAAATTTGCAAACTTGACACCAATTCCAAGACACCATAACTGGTAGTGTCAGGTCAAGCGTGGTTGGCTTTAAATAGGGTTGGGTATAGATTTTGTAAAAGTAATAATAATAAAAAAAAACAAGAGGGGGCTATGAGATTTTAAATATGAAACTAATCCTCCCAAGAAGCAATGTTAAACCAAAAAATGTATCTATCCACTTATATTTACAGTGGATGAGGAGATCATAACAAGCTTATAAAAAATAGTTGAATTTTAAGAATCAAAACTTTAAGCCAACATGCAATCAATGAAGCATCACTTATTTACACAATAAAAAAGAAATAAAATTAGGAAATAATATAACTGATAGATTTAGCATAATTAAATAAGACGAGAATGTAGAATTGCAGAAAAAAGGTTTTAGGATGGCTCAAGAAACTAATCTGGAGTGATATGTCGAATGAATTGTTCCTACACAATCCAGAGAAATCTTTGCTCGCCATTAACTTATCTCTTTTTACTGGTGCAGTAGCTGGAGCAGTTTCAATATTAGGGGAGTACGTGAAGGATGAGCCGTGGTTGATGCTTCTGTTAGATCATTTGAAGTATTTATTCAAATTTAATTTAAACTCTTATAGAGATATGATATGTTGTCTTTGTTCAATAAACGAGCTTAGCATAGAAAACAGTATGAAATCCTTATGTGAAATGGTTTCCTTTATCTGCCTGACCTGGTTAGTTTATGGGATTTGATTGCAGATTAAATTTACTCGAGGTAACTAGTAAAGTACCGGAAGCTGAAAATTTTCTGACCAATGCTGAACATAATCCAGTTTCTTCCAGTTTGTTACAGGTACAGATTATAGTGCATCAGATCCTTCTCTTGCGTAAAATAGCTAGCTGGTTGGACATATTTTTTTGCATATCTGGGACTGTTGCAGGCTGTCATACACTTTCCGACTGATATAATTCTCTTAATTTATTACTTCTTTGAAATTTTTTTTGATATGTTACAAGTTGAATGTGGAATCTGCCTAGGCCACCTTGTATATGTGTCATGATCAAAATATCCATTTACTTTTTGTCATGGTAAGCCCGGACTGAACATATATGTAAATTGTTTATTCTATTTGAGATTGAAAGTTCTTGGTTGGAAAAAAAAAAAATCATCAATGAGGGCATGATGATAGTAGAATTTCATGAATACTTGATGAGGATGAGCTATCCGTGTTGGAAAAGAGCGTTGACACAACATGGATTGGCAGGATAGCAGGTTATATAAAATGAGACATTAAGAAATGTCAGAACTTCATATCTAGGGTTCCCGCATGCTTTTAGACTGATTGTTGTGTTTTTTTGTCTGGCAGGAAAAAGGTAGGAGTGGAGATAAAACAAAGAGAAGTGGAAAGCAAGCTAAAAAGGCTAAGGTGGAGTCAGAATCAAGGAATATAAGAGAAATGTTTCGCAGAGCTTGCAGGAAAAGCTAAGCAGTAGTCTCTTATTAAAAGATTGAAACGAGATAAGATAGTGGATTCTGGTTTATTTAGTTTTTGGCTGTGACAAACCTCACCCATAGCGTGTGAGTGCATCGTCCCTGCGTCTCTTACTTCCAATGGTACTTCAACCTGTTGGCTCAGCTTTGCTTAGTTTGAAACCAGTCTGAATCTGGAATCTATTCTTTTTATATGTTATCATGCAACCTAACCGCCTGCACCAAAGCCCATTATGAGAAGCCAGTCTAATTATGTTCATTTGAGCTTCGAAAAATCTTGGAAACGACTGGCTATAACCAACTAAGAAAAAGGAGTTGAAATTACTGTGGGTGTTGAAATTAGTGTAGGTGTAGCTACGCATGTGACTCTTGAGGATTGCAAACAACTTTCAAGGATGATTATCCGTACGATATCAACTCACAAGAAAAGAATAATATTGAGCCCATGAGCAGGTGTCGTTAGTTTGTGTAGTTAATTAAAATGATCTGTGAAAACCTTCCCAATTATTATATGCTACATTTTGACACGGCCTGGTATATTCCATCCACATTTGCGTTAGGGCAGCACAATTAATTAAACGACGGACAACTCATCAGACTAACATCCTTCTTGTCCATGGTATTTCAAGGGATTTATTGCATTGCCCTTTCCCTTCATTACAATAAATACTCTTCCAGGACCACTGCTGTTTTGAATAGCTGATGAGTCGGGAGATGTCATGCACCATTCATACCAAACCTGCATCGTAACAAGTCATTTTCAACCCCACATTTCAAGAATGCGGGCATGCTTGAGCATCAACATGGATCTAGGTTTCACTGATGATTTTCTATGCATTATGTGATGTCAAGAAATTTAAAGAAGCTGTACATTAAATAGTTATGAAACCAATTATGTGTTTTACCTTCGAATAACCACAACAGCGCCAAAAATGTACTTCTAGAGGAGAACCCGGCTTCATGCAAACTGGTGTCCTAAGAGGGAAGAATATTGCAAACCTGGAATATAGGCAATCACCAGTTTACAGTCATATCCAGGGGCAAGTTGTTGTATTTTAGACCTCAACAGTTATCACGACCATAAAAATTAAGATAATTTATGCTGAGAAGAAATGAGAGAAAGGAAAGGAACATGAAATCATAATTGCAAGCAGCCAGAGAATGAACGCCCAATCCATATAAATTCACTGAACTCGTAAAATCAAGAAATTAAATGTTATACCAACTGAACATGTCTGGTGTCGCCATTGATGGTTCAATGCCAAGGTGAACATCTTTGTAAAGCTCGGCATCAAAATACCCAGCAAATCCTGCGCCCACAAAAATAAAAAATTCAAGGCTTTCGAAAAACGATACTCCAAATGCATTCAGCTGAGAAGGTTGCTGGTAACCTCTTTGTTGAAGAGAAGCAACTTTCTATCGGATGCCAGAGGATGACTGACCCTTAAATTCAGTGCTATAGTGGAGTTATATGATGGTCTACTGTTTAAATTTTTAAAGTTCAACTGCAACTGCCTGGCTGGTTCTATATCCATGAATTTTTTTTAACTAACCTCATGTTAATTCAATCTTTCCTCAAACTACTTGCACGAGATCTTCACACTATTAAGTAAAATGGAATCAACATTGCAATTAGGTATTTTCCTAAACAAATTTCTATGTCATTAATGCATGTGCCCACTCAAGTTTGTATCCGTGTGTCTTAACTTAGATAAACTTAGGCATAAATCAAAGGAAATTCAGGGTTCACATTCGATGTCCAATTTCTAACTTGACATGCACTTGAGGGTCTCAAGATCATACTCCAAATAAGATCAAATCAAATTAATAGGAGTAGAAGTCAAGCTTCCAGAAATGGTATCAGCTGATAACATTATCTAACAGTAAAACCTATATGCGCAAAATAGGAACTAGCCTTGGTTACAACATACCATGAACCATAGCTGATCCAATGTCACATGGTATCTCAAACGGCAACCTTTTGCAGCGTTGATTGCTTTTTTTGGTTGAGTAATCTGGATGGGTGAGCGTAAAGACCTGTACAGGGAAAGATTATACGAGTAGCTAAAAATGATTGATCTAAATGTTTTCTCAACTGAAAAAAGATCATAAAGACCAGTGCAGCAAACACATAATTTGCATGATTAATCATCGCCTAAGAATTCATTAAATGCTAAGAATCGTGAACCGATCAGATACAGGACCTACCATGCTAGCAGTGAGTTAGTCACAACAATTTCACAAAGCCATGGACCTAAACATGGGCCATATATCAATTAGCATGCTATGTTGAAAGTGCCTTGCTACATTATGCAGTTTGACAACATATGCAATCTCAAAGTGAACAAAATCTTTGTGCGACTTGACCTGCCCAAAAAAAAACACAATCCACTCACATGATTCCAATTGAAACAAGAAAAAAACAACGGATAAAAAAGATGCAAAGGTTGTACATCATTATATAGCTTGGCAGCTGTCACCGGTTGGATAAAGCTAGTGTAGCTGGAAAAGAAAACATAAGGAGGCGGAGGAAGAAGAAGAAGAAGAAGAACTAGTGAAGCATTACCCTTCACAGTTCAAATTTAAATTCCCAAAGTAGTTTTAAGGTTGGCTGCTAAAACAAGAATCTAAATATATTTCAAGGATCATTAATGTAGGATGTTTAAGGATGTAACTGTAAGGTATTTAACAGATACAAGGCATTGCTGTCAGAAAAAAGATCTGGCATAGACTAAGAATCCTGTCACATAATAGTCTGATTGAGACAAGCTCCTTGTTTTTGGCACAACTGATTACAAGGTTCTGGGAGAAAACCCCATGTATGTTCCCATGGCCAATTTACATTTGACACTTTAACTTGAGGATGATCCATTACAAAGGCTCACCGACAGAAAGCCCTTTTCTACACCGAACACATGTTCAACATTGTAATTCATCACAACATATTACAATCTTAGCTCTGGACATTTATGTAGATCCATGTGTGTCATTGTATGCTGCTCAATAAACTGATGATAACGTGTCAAGATAAACATAAAGAGAATGAGTTGGCATCAACGAGACCCATAAGGTTCCAGAGAGAGATCACTTATTCAAGCCAATAACTTCCAATTGTTTTATCCAACCGTCATATATGCTGAACATAGTCGCTGCACCATAACTCTGTACAATATAATAAAAGAATAGGCTTTAAAATAGTTCAACAATAAAGAAGATTTTACATATGATAATGGTATTGAGATTCCATCTTGCTTCAAGAACCTTTGAGCACCATCAAGGCATTCAGGTGATAGCTCATTGTCACCAAAAGAACCCAGTAATTCAATAACCTGGAGAGCAATCAGACAATGGCAAGTGCATGAGCTGTTAATCACTAGCATTCAGAAAAATACATCCCGCAGATTAACCACAAAATATAGTCACATATCAAGATATCAGCTTTCTCAGGAGCATCCCAGTAACGCATATCACAAGAAATTATGGTAACAATATCTTCCCATCCTTCTAGCTTAACCAAACTGACACGACTAAAAGATTGATGTCTTCTCCTAAGTGCAGGAGTGTCGAAATAATAAATAACCCGGCAAGACCGGGATCAAACCACAGAGAGGTTAATTGTACAAATTATAAACAACAATTATAAAACAACAATAACAACAACAACAACAACAACAGTAGTAGTAGTAGTAGTAGTAGTACTAATAATAATAATAATAAAGAAAGAGAAGAAGAAGAAGAAGATGATTATGAGAACTTAGAGATGAAATATTAATGTAAGGATTAAACAATAATAATAACAAATGTCAAGGTTAGAGGTTCCACTAATGGTATATCAAACAAGTATAGTATAAACTCTTATTATTCAATTGGAAACCACACACAAAGGAGGTTCCAATCATATTATAGATTGTTAACATGATTACATTAGTCATCTTATTCAATTAATGCTAATACTTGTAAATCTCATCAAGCATTCATGATTATAACTTATGTTAACAACAAATCAAGTTCTTTTCATAACTCAGGTGTCGGTTATACCATACATTATGGGCTATAAAAGTGCCAAGCATTTGTTGTACCAAGTGTTATACAACATAAATCAAGATTAGTCATTTAACAAGCAAAGTATTAAAGAGTGAACAAGATAACAAATATAAAACATGTTAGTATCAAACATTAAAGTCCATATTAAGTTTACATTATACTTATTCTTACACCATTAGTGTAACCTTTTCACCTTGACATAATTAACTTAGCTAGACATAATGAAAAAAAGAAAAATAGATAAACAAAATAAGAACATAAAAGCTAACTAAATAAAGGAAAGGAAATGAAAAGCATAAGCTTAATATTAATGAAAGCAAAGCATAAACATTACAAAAAATACAAAGAGAGAAAGGAAGAGCATGATCTTGATCTGGAAACCAAGATGCCTAAATGCATGGCAAATGCCTTTTTTTATAGGCCAAAATTGGGAACTATTGATTTGATGACTAATTGATAAGTGAGTGGCCAACTTTTGACTTGGTGACAATCCTTATCTTCTCTTATCTGCCCAAAACGTTATTGATAACGTCAAAACTGGAGCCAGTTGCAAACATGAAAGTTGTAGGCAATTGTCTCAGCTTTCTTGTATAAAAAATTCAGCTCATTTGGACTTCTAGAACTCCAGATATGGCCAAAATACCGAACAGTGCTCGGGCTGGAAGACAGATTCGGGCTTCTTTGTTGTTGCTACAATTTGGACTTGATAATGACCTTTTTAGATCTTGGACTCCATATGAAAGTTGTAGGCCTATGTCTTACCTTTCCATCCATATAAATTGGACCTAAATCTGAGATCTGTAGCTCCAGATATAACCCAATTACCGAACAGTGTTCCGGTTTGGATTGCACCGACATCTCTTCTCTAAGTTTAACCATCTCTTTATCCATGCAATTTAAGTTCTTCAAGTCATCAATCAATCCTTTCATTTATGTGATAGGCCTGCATTTAAAATGAACATTTACCACAAATTAAAGGTATCTTATATTATTAGATATATTATTATAAAACATGCTTTAGTTAAGGAGTTATTGATACTTCAAGATCAATCCTTTCATTTATGTGATAGACCTGCATTAAAAATAGACATTTACCACAAATTATAGGTATCTTATCTTATTAGATATATTATTATAAAATATATTTTAGTTAAGGAGTTATTGATACTTCAAATGCAAAATGATGATATAAAACCATGATAAAAATGCACTT